TTTTTGACTACTGGTAATTGCCAGAATGAATGTATTTGGTTTATTAATCACTGTGTGTATTCTTAGAAAAGAAAACAAACATATTTTCATCTAATCTAAAAAGTTAGTGGATGCCCTATTAAAAATGTCACTGCCCATCATTGTATAAAACAAAATATATTATCCTGAGCCCTGTGGATATTATGAAGGGCTCAGATGTGGCAGAAAGATGACCTAACCCAGAGCATGGAATGACTGATGAAGAGATGGATCTAGATGAGCATATGCAGCTTCCAGTGGGGTCACCCAGTGGGGCATGCAACCAGGAACTGTTCTTCACTCCTGAGGTGCCTAGCCAGTTGAGAAAGTGGCAATAAAAATGATATCTTACACAGCATAACCTGTTTCAAAACTATCCTATGCCCAAATATCCCAGGAAATGTTAACTTAGAACTGGAGTCTGATTCTTTCAGCATCCAAGATTGGAAATGAGTATCCCAGAAGTGCTGAAAGCAACAGAATCTCCCTTTGAGATGTCCGAAGGCGGCCTCCAGCACAATACAGGCCCTGCTGAGCCTGGCATTCGGATGTTACTTGGTAGGGTCAAGGTGTCCGGTGTCGGGCTTCATGAGCTAGGGAACAGATGGTAAGCTGTGTCCCCTACAACAGAGACAGGCACGTCCATGTTCCTTACCCTGATGGTGTGATCGGGGTAAAAGGTGCATGACCACGGCCCCAACAGTTGATCTCCCCATGCCAAACTGGTTCCTGACGGATCGGTAGCTGTCCAAAGTGGTGAGCTTCCACAAGCGATGGCTACATTCTTCTGGAGAGGGATGGCGGGTCTCATCTAAGTGTCTCATCACTGGAGAGGAGAGCCACTCACATACCTCCAGAAATGTGTCCTTCCGCATGAGGAAGTTCTGAAGCCACTGCTGATCATCTTACCACTCCAGGACAATCCGGTCCCACCAGTTGGAGCTGGTGTCTGGTCACCAGAAGCGGTAGCACACAGTGTGCAGGGGAGGCCGGGTGAGGTTGTGAATGAGCAGCATCCAAAAAGCAGAGAGGAATTGCCCCACAAAGAGCTGGGGGTCCTGTTCCTGCAGGGCCTGGAAGGCAGCCCACAGAAACTGCAGCAGGAGGTGCACTAAGACATATAAGAGCCATTGACTGCTGGGAGGCAGGTCCAGGTCCGTGGCTAAAGAGCTGAAGTGTCTGCAAGGGCAACCACAGCAGGCAGAGCAAAGGCTTTTCTGTCCCTCAATGAGGTAGGCAAAGGAGGAGAGCCTGAGACACGGCTTTACAGGGGGGTCCTTTTAAGTACGAGTCTCAGATAACCTCTGGCAGCAGCTTCAGGAAGTGACTGCTGTCCTGATGCCCTGCCTGAAGTGCTTCCAGGTGGCTTTAAATGCAATTCACTCTATTTTGAAATAGCTCAGTGCTATTTTGATGGGCATTTGCTGTGTAGACGCGCTATTTCAAAATATAAATTCTGAAATAGCTTATTTCGGAAGAAGTGTGAAGTGTAGACGTGCCCTTAGATGGCTAAAGAGGAGACTGAGCCAGAGACTGTTGGGAAGTAGTCTGACCTTAGATTCCAGGGGAAAAGAGGTCTGGAATTAGATATGCTTACCTAAGTCATATAAGGAAGACAGAGAGGCATACACAGTGTTTTATGATTTTAAAAATTCTTTCCTCGTGTTTTGCTAGATTCTACCAGTGATATTGAACAGTACGTTGTTTTAAGAAAACTATTTGGGTTATTATTTTTCACATCTCTCAAGGAGAAGAACAATAGCTACTGAGAATAGTTGCACATGTTAAGAAATCACAGTTGATATTCAGGGTACTGTAGTACTGGATCTGGTCAGAGAGTGGGAAAATCTCAGGATTCTGCTGCAGAGACTGATGACCTGGAAGGCTACACTCAGAAGAGACCAGAAAAGGGAAAGGAAAAGCAGCCAGCCCTCAGCTTTGGCAAGGATCTTAACAAAGAATTGACAAAGCAAAGGTAAATTCCTTCAGAAAGAAAATGACAGTACTCTAGATTAATCTGCATTATATCTCTTTCAGCTATTTCTTATGGCTTTACTGATAGGTATGAATCATCAGGAATCATTTTTCTCAATTCGACTTATATAATTGCATTACATAGCCTACCTGGGGTAATTCATACAAGAATTCACTATATATTATCTCCTCTAAGTTGTTCACATTTAAACTAGGTCATGCAAACAATTTTCATATATGCAGTTGTACTGTTTAGTCCAAACCAACACCCTACAGAATGCTGATAGTTATAATTTAATGTCACTGTAAAATTAGGAAGCCCAATTCTGTCCTCTGCTTTGCACACAAAGTTCCCATCTACGTTAATTGGAACCCCACCCCCTGCAAGTTCATGCCAGAGCAGAATTTAGTCAGGGAAAGCTGATACAAATTCTGAACACTGAAATAAAAATGTCAGCATCACTCATAGGAAATGAGCTCAGAATTACACCTTAATACCAGGCAGTCTGTATCAATAATTTTCATTTTTAAGAAAGTGATTCCTATAAAGTATAAATTCTATCATACCAATAATGATAAAAATAGTTTTGAAATAAAAACATTTGGGTGAGTAGGTTCCCCTAGTCATTTAGATAATCTTTTAGGGTATTGAATACATTTTATTATATCTATAGAAAATGGGAGTCTAACTTTCAGTATCTCTAATATGCTAATATCCTCCCTTGGGCCTTGGCCAGCAAACACTTAGTTACGTCTACACAGCTTCCTTCTTCTGCAAAAGTGCCACACAGCTCTGGCACAGGGCAGCTTGGCCACCCCACAGCTAAGCCATGGAGTGGTGGGGAGGAAGTTATTTCTAATATGTTTGTGCCCTGACCCTGCAGGTTCCACAGCAAAGACTTAGCACCCTTTTCATATGTTACCCCTGTCTCAGATCCTTCCCCCATGAAGTGTGGGGCTTCTCGGTCCCCTAAGTATCCTCCCCTGCTGAGCCACCTGTCTGGCTGAGTTTGCTGAAGCCCCTGCAGTCAGGTTCCATCAGCCCTGGTGCACAAAGCAGCCATAGCGATTAACCCTTTCCTGCCTGCACTGTAGTCTGGGGATAGCTAGCAGAAGCTTGGAGGTATTAGCTATCTTTCTATGGGCAGGAAGAAACAGATACTCCCAGCCACAGGAGAGTGGGGCAGGGGAAGTAGGAAGAGAAGGGAGGGAGGAAAGACATGACCCCCCCCCCCCGTGGCTGGAAGCAGCTCATGTCCCTTCCCTCCTGCACAGCACTGAAAGGCTGTTGCTGGCGATGTTCTGGTGTGAACCCTCCCAGAAATCTGAGGAGAGGGCTCCCATACCCTGCATGTCCCCCACATGTTGCCTTGAAGATGCAGCTCCAAGACCCAGGAGAGATGGGTCTGTACTGAGGCACTGGGCAAGGAAGGTTGGGTTAGGTCAGCTGACCACCCCCATCCTCATATGAGAGAGGTGTATAGGAATGTGTGTATCACCTCTCCCTGTGCAGACCTTAATGATAAGAAGGTAAATTAAAAGACTCCAGCTATACAGTATTTCTTTTTAACAGGGACTCAGTCATTTGATGTTAATTTGAGTATTTGTACTGCATAGTTCTGCCTGCCACTGAACTTGCTTGAATATGAATAATTTTGCCGGGTGCCCCAGTATTCAGCATAGGGAAATATGGTCTTCCTATTCACGTGTTTAAGTATTTGTGAGCTCTAGGCTTTAATAGGTTGTCTTAGCATTGTCTAATAGTTCTCATAGTTAAAGTATAGCCAAATAATATTTAATATTTAACTCTCCCTGCTGCAGCTCAAGTTTAAGTCCTTCTTGTTCTGTCCTCCTGGTGATGGTAATTGATCTCTGTATCCTTCCCAGAATGGCAGCTGTGTGTGGCAGCCAATTTCCCCTTGTCCTGCACTTTATGCAGCTATTTAAATCAGTGTGAGATGGGTATGAATCTCTATCATTCTGACTTGGTAGCAGTTTATACCGATGTAAATATCGACACCCAGGGCAGGGTAAGCGAGAATGCTCTAATCCTGATACTGCCATTTGGGCTTTGTCTACACTGGCAAATTTTGTTGAGGAGAAATGCCTTTTGTTGAGAAAACTGCATGAGCGGTCACATTGCAACATGATTTTTGTTGTGAAAAAAATGGTTATTTTTGCTGACAAAAAACCTTGCAGTTCCATGAGGGATTTTGTCTTTTCCCCTCCTGTGTTGTTGACAAACATGCAGGCATTTTGACACCTCGAGGCATTTTATTGCTGATTCAGGCCTCCAGGAGGTGGCTCACAATTCCTGATCATCCCCTCTAATCGGTAGTTTGAACACTGCTGTCCTGCAGCTCAGTGATCAGCTACCTGCCCCTTCCTCTTGTAAATCCCACAACATTTAAATAACTTTTCCTGCAACCTGAGCACCTAGACCTACTCCACAGGTTGGGAGCCCGGAAATGTGCTAGGCCAGTTTGCCATACCTATCCTGTGTGCGTGTGAGACCATGGTCGTGCATTCATTCATGCTTGACTCCCCCAATGCCAGCTAGCTCCAAAAGTAAATGATTGGGGTTAAATTGGGGGAGGTATTGATATCCCAATAAGGCCAAGCTACACTGAGACTGGATTCCCCTTTCCATCCAAAAGGTGGGGGTCCCTACAGGCTCAATATCTGTTGTGGGGATAGTATTTGTGAGTATGCGGGGGCAGGTGCAGCTCATGATTCTAGCTCTCCATGGTGGAGGCAGCATCTGGCCCTTGCAGGGCAGCCAGTGGGAGTGTTGTGGGACAGCCTGGAATGCTGTGGATGGCAGTTTAACTGACAGATGGGAATGGCAGTTTAACTGACAGATGGGGATGCCTTGTGTACCCCATGCACAGGCAGCAAGAGGAGTGAGCGTGACTGGAACTGGCACACACGTCACTCCTCCACACAAGCTTAGAAGGAGACTCTACCAGGCTGGAAATTACCCGTTAATTGGTGGGCAACCTGCTAGCAAAGGGCTTAGTGGGTTCTTGTCATTTGCTGAGGTTGGAGTTGCATTACCCAGGCTGCTGATGTGGGGAGTGGATCTTTGGGAAAATGGGACCAAGGGTTGAGCAGCAGTGAGGGAAGAGCCAAGACTAAGGAGGAGTCAGGCTGGGGGCTACCTTACTGGATATTTCTGAGAACAGAAGGGTGAGCATGGCCAGAGCTGATGTACACATCACTCCCGCACCCAGCACAGCCCACTATTAACATCTTGACATGGTATAGAGGGGCCGGTCCTCTGTTGACTTAAATCAGTGCAGCTCACTGGCCCACCCGAGACAGAAAACATCAAGATATCCTAAGATTAACTCCCCTTTTTGCTCCTGCTGTGGAAGGACTCCCATCCCTGCAGGGCAGATCTGAGGGAACTGGGATCAAGCTCAGGCAAGAGGCTTCCACTGAGGTCCGGTCTACAACTAAAACATAGGATGACCTAGCTATGCTGTTTGGAGGTGTGAAAAATCTACGCCGTGAGAAACACAATTAAACCAACCTCCGGCCTGGTGTAGACACTGCAAGACTGGCAGAAGAATTGTTTCCATCAGCCTCGCTACTACCCTTCAGGGGAATGGATTTACCACAATGATAGAAAAAAACTTTTCCATTGCTGTAGCAAATGCCAGCATTACAGCGCATTGCTGTGGCACCATAGCTGTGTTGCTGTAGCACTTGTAGTGTAGATTTACCCTGAAAGAACAGTGTGTATTTGGAGCCTCAGCAAGAAACCTATGTGTGCACAGGCTCTCATTGCAAAAGCAGTTTTGGAGGTATCTGTGGTGGTCACTTGTAACCTGACTCTATAAGCCACTACCATCCGGGTGGGTGCCCTATTACATATATAAAATAAAGGGACAGGTTGTAGTCAAATACAATCAAATAGTCATTAATTGTGGGTGGTGTGTATGTGAGAATCCCAGGGAGAGAGGGAGGAATCCTACAGAAATAGCATTACAAACCTGGAAGTGAATCCTAAGAGTGAGGTCCTGCTGTGGGAGCAGAATGGATGGTGGAGGGATGAAACCCTGAAAAATGGGATCCCATTGGGTGATCAATGTAAAGTTCATGGAAAGTGATGGAAACAGTATGCATGTGTAACACGCCAATGGATCTGGGTCATCAACAGGTAGGATTGAGCCTGGGACCTTAGAGGCTAAAGTCATGAGCCAAAAGCCTGCTTTGAGCAGGGGGCTGGACTCAATGACCTCCTGAGGTCTCTTCCAACCCTAGGATTCTATGATTCTAAAAACCAATAGCCTCTTAGCTAAGGCTGTAGAGCAGACTTCACTCGCCGATCTTAGTGTCTCTAGGGGTATATCTACACTACCACCCTAGTTCGAACTAGGGTGGTTAATGTAGTCATACGAACTTGCAAATGAAGCCTGGGATTTGAATTTCCCGGGCTTCATTTGCATGTTGCCGGGCGCCACCATTTTTAAATGTCCACTAGTGCGGACTCCGTGCCCGCGGCTACACGCGGCACGAACTAGGTAGTTCGGACTAGGCTTTCTATCGTTCCATGAGGCGTACAGGTAGTTCGGAAAAGGAAGCCTAGGTTACAAAAGTTAGCCTGCAAGGGTGAATCATAAATGGGAGTGGTCCCATTAGGGGAAAGCCACAGAAAGGGAATATAGTTTTTAGGACTATGTAGTGTGCTGTGAGGTTAAAGTCCAGGAAAAGGGGCTTCCATCAGGAAAGAAGTGGTTCTAGGGATCACCTTTTTGCTCTGTGTTTTGTGCAGCACCTAGCATAAACAGAATTCTGGTCCATGTTTAGACTCCTACATGCTATGGTAATATAAGTAAAAATAAATAAATTTGAGTAGAGAAATGTGAATGCTGGAGGGTGGGGGGTGGATTGCTCAAGAGAAAATGGTGTTTCATCTTCAGGAAGAGTTTGTGTGATAGGAAAATGGGCTTTTAGAGCATGTCTACACTAGAGGGTTATTTCAAAATAATTTCCCTTATTTTGAAATAACAAGGTGAGCGTCCACACTACCAAGCCTATTATTTTGAAATATTCCTGCTTGTGATGTGAAAAGGAATAGCATTATTTTGAAATTGTTATTTTGGGAGTTAAAACTTATTTTGAAATAACTCTCTAGTGTAGACACACCCTTTCTGGGCTAGCAGTGCATGTTTGTGTGCAGGTGTGTGAATGAAGTCCAGCTGAGAGAATGCAGCATTTGAACTGTAGTTAATTCAGGAGATGTCTGGGGAAGGGGTTTATGGGTAAATTGTGTATGTTATGGGGAGGGGGAGAGGAAAGGATGGAATAGGATGAGAGCATTGAAGCTCAGGGTATTACATCAGAATTTTTCACCATTTATTCAGCTTCACTTTCTTTGTTTCTTCCAAAAGGTTCTGCTCCAATTGCTCTTGGACCCCGACTTCCTCAGCCAATGTGAAGCCACTTCCACTGAACTCACTTCATTGCGTGTCCACAAAATGCAACACAGTGATAATTCCAAAACACATTTGGTGGCTCCAGAACAGCTCAAGGATGAGAATAAGATCCAATTTCATATCCACCAGGCAAAAGGAATCATGATCTGTGACCAATTCCTTCTGGGTCTTTGCCAAGAAGGGGAGACATGCCAGTGTCACCACACACGCTATCCTTACCACTGGCAGGTGATGCGGAAGAAGAAAGGAGTGTGGCAGAGCGTGAGTGAATCAGCTCAGCATCATCTGGAGAAACTTTACAGCATCATAAATCACTCACTGGTTACACTTGTGGAAAAGTAAGTGATGGAAAAACTGCAGACCCAACTTCTCCCATAAGGCTCTCTCAGCTGCTCTACCCCCATACTCCAACTGAAAGTGCTTAGCAATATTAGGGAGACCATAACTATGCCAATCAGTCTTTCCCAGCAGGAGATACAATGTGGTACAGGACAACTGTCTGTAGACTCAGACTATGTCTACACAACAGCTACAATTGCAGTTTTGTAACTGGTTAATGGCATGCTGCTTTTAATCTGTTACAGTGTGGACAGTTTGGATTGTATCCACGCAACAGCTTTTCTGCCACCACAACTGTGATTTTGCCTCAGTAAATAATGTTTTTCCTAGTCTTGTTTTTGTGAGCCTGTACTGGGAAATTACACCATAGTGCCCACAAACTGCACATATTTTCTGAGTAGGATTATCAGAATTTTTATACAAATCCCATAATCCTACTTCAAGGGCAATGTCATTTTCCATCATGGAAACCAATCAGGTACTTCAGTGTGATGTGTCCTCCAGCTTCTGGAGACTGCTGCTTGGCAGTCTGAAAGAAAAGAAATGATAAAATACAGAACACTCTGAGGTGGTTCCTGAAAAGGAGGCGGAGCTAAATTAATAACATACATTACTTTGTGGTTTAGGAACAATGAGCTAGAACAATGATTGTCAGGAAAATTCTCCATGATCTCAAACAAAGATTTTTAAAAAGTTACAAACCAAGACATCGTTTGTTTCCTGGCCAGTTCATGAGATTCCAGTAAGACTGCAGCAGCAACGTGCTGACTCCATTACCTAAATAAGCTATATACACTAACTCATCATTTTAACTTTTTTTTAAAGTGCAGCTTGTTTGTAGTATTATGGAGAGATAGGACCAAGGAGACAGCAGTATCAAAGGGGCACATCCATCCTGAACACTCACTTTGGGTAAATACAGACTGCAGCTGGAGAGAAAAAATGTTTTTGTGTCAGGCACATTGGGGTGCATTTTCCATGCTCACATGAGGAATGTTCTGCCAGCACAATAACAACTCCACTGAGCATGCACCAGGAGTGATGAATATGTTACTGCCCATACCATCAGTCAACTCATACCACACATTGTGTTTACAAATAGGAAATATTAAGGGTGTAAACCATACCTGAATCATGCAATCCTCACTCCATGTTCCCTGTCCTTGAATAGTACCTATACTTTGTTTTTTTGGCTGTCCACAAGATTCACTGATACTCTGGTGTCCCATTAGGTGCACTCACACACATTTGCCACAAACTAGATTGACACTTTCAGGAAATTTTCCCACCAGTACATGTCAGTCTGTCACATACCTACCACTCCCAGTAAGATGATCAAAGATTTACTACTACATCTTCTCACTGAGTTTTGCTGAATTCAAAGAGGTCAAGATGCTGTCCTCGTTCCAATAACTAGAAATCCCTGGTCCAAACTAGGAATCAAAACCCAGCTCTGAACTTCTCCACAAAAGGAAAGTTATAGGTGCTCTGAGATATTAAGCGATATGAATCACTAATTCAGGAATCTGAACTCATGAGTCTAACAATAGTGTGAATGCTATGTCCAGTAAAACAAATTATAGACATTTTTAAATCAGCCTGTTTTCAACTGACATAGGCTAATCATAATCAGCCTGTTTTCAACTGACATAGGCATGGAAGAGCTAATCATGTCTGCAATGTAAGGTACATAGAGTAATACCTTTATCACCCAGGAAGTGCCCTGTTAGACATTAAATGCACAGTTATAGGAACAGGGATGACCACTTTTGACAGTGACTGGCACTTTTAGAGGGCTGGTCCATGCAGCAAAACTAACATGAATCTAGCTATAGGTTGAATCTCTCTAGTTCTGGACTCTCTGGTCTGGCAACGTCTGTGGTCCGACAGGACCATGGATGTTGCTGGACCGGAGAGCCTCTGGACCAGAGAGCTACTGCTTGGGGCAGCGGAATTGCTGTGGGGGAAGGTGCAAGAGTGATGACGCTCACTCATGCTCCTACATAGGCTTCTCTTAGCAGGAGAACCTCTTGCAAGTTCTGTTTCTTTCACAGGGATGGTTCAAAAGGCAAAGTCAACCTAAATACCATGGAACTGCTCTCCTTTGGTCCTTATGGCGACATACGGCGTCTCTCCAACACCCATGATCCACTGCAGAACCCACATCTCCACACAGAGTGGCACGTGTATTGGCTTGATGAAACCAATTGGAAGGAATATGAGGAGGTCAGGCAAGAATGAAGCAAAGGTGTCTCAAGACTGAGTTGGGGGTTGCAATGTGGGAAGTAGTGTCTCTGAGATGGAACCCAATAGGCTTATGTTATTATAGACAAAGCATCAGAAGGTGACCAGACCTTCTTCCTTATCGTGTTCTGATTCCATCTCTTCTCCTGCCCCTCATTTCTCTCTCTGTATAGCCAATTTCCCAAGAAATCATTAATGCCTTTGAGAGTGGCTTACAGAACTACAGCTTCAGTTGCGAAGACCAACAGTACGCTCTGGATTTGAAGAACCTTATTCAAATTAACTTAACCACAGAACAAAAGTTATCCATTCAGCGCCGACCTGCCTACCACACACCTATCTACATGGTACCACATCTACGGTAAGCAACTCCACCTGCAATACTCCTCTATATTTAAATTGATTAACACTTTGTATAATAAAGGATTATTGTGATTTTTTATAAGAAGTTCTCACACATTCATTGCTTTCAATAGTTTTTTATATAAAACAGGAAGAAAGTCGTGAGCTAAATAAGTTCCTTTCTTCCCCTCCTGAAATTTCCATTTAGGTTTAGCTGGTTTACAAACTGTTTTCCACTTCTCTCTCTCACTTGAAGGGGGGTTCCAAAGAGGATGAAGAGAGGCTGTTCTCACTAATGGCAGATGACAAAGCAAGGAGTAATGGTCTCAACTTGCAGTGGGGGAGGCCTAGGAAATATTAGGAAAAACTATTTTACTAGGAAGGTGGTGAGGCACTAGAATGGGTTGCCTCGGCAGGTGGTGGAATCTCCATCTCTAGAGGTTTTTAAATCTCGGCTTGACAAAGTCCTGGCTGGGATGATTTAGTTGGGATTGGCCCTGCTTTGAGCAGAGGGTTGGACTAGATGGCCTCCTGAGGTCTCTTCTAATCCTAATCTTCTATGATTCACTTGCCTTCCTAAGAAAAATGTTGGCAGTATGCCAGGGTAACACCAGAAACATTCTAAGGACAGGCCCATGCCACTGACAAAGCATCATCATCACAAGCTCCTCTGGAAGTTACTGGAATAGCATGAGGTGGGAAGAAAGTAGGCTTCCCTCACTACCTCATGTCTCCTTGGATTCATATACTTGAATGACAGTATATGAATGGTCATTAATGAAGGAATTAGTGTGACAATGATTCTCCTAGTGGCTAGAGCACTCACCTTGGATGTGGAAGCCTAAAATCAAGTTCCTGCTCCAATGACTAATCTGTTATACAAAGTGGAAAAACTTCAACAAAAGAGCTTGAGAGAGATCTGTCCTGGAATACCTACAGAGCAGTTGTTGGTGTGTTCACCTCCAATGAGAGAGACTCAATTCCAAATCCCTTCTCCACATCTGGCAAACCCAGTGTCCCGTCTCTGGGCTAAAAGTGATAAGGTATGACAGTGTATTGTTGTGGCAAATCTCACCCACTGGAAATGTCCATAAAAACAAAACATTTTGGGTCAAACAAGATATGTAATTGAACCCAAAACAGATCTTTTTAATTCACACATTTTTTTTACATTTTTTAGATTTGGATTATATAAATTGGTTAGGTTTCATTTAGATCTGGAAAGATGTGGGAGAACTGCCAGCAAACTGAAAAATCAGTTTTTTGCCCAGTTCTAGTTGCAAAGTCATGAATTTGAAATTTAGGAAAGGCCAGATTTAGAGTTGCAACCTTAATTCAACCTCTTTGTGCATACGCATTGGGATCAACTTATTTATTTAGCTTTTTATTATGGCAGTTTTTACATGATCACATGCTATTTTTCCCTTAGGAATGCATGTCACTCAGTTTGAATACACCAATTAGAGTTGTAGATCAACTGTAAGTCTGTATTTCCTTATTTTCAGGTGTCTGATTTTGCAACTTAAATAACTTTATTTGTATAAGCTATTATCATTTATAATATAGTAATACCCAGTTTAAGACTTGGTGTTCTGTGCTAGGCACTCTACAAACACAATAAGACACAGTTTTTGCCTCGAAGATCTTACAGTCTAAAATAAAATAAGGCAGAATGTGTGGGAATGGGATGGGAAGATGAAGATAACCGCAACATATTCTTACACAGACTAGATTTGTGCACAGTTCAGACAAAACAAATTTTTGTCCTATTCTCTTCTTAGGACACTCCCAAGTGGCTTTAGAGGACATCTCAATCCTCATGCTGCCAACATTCCTGGGGAGGACCCTACTGATGGGTATTATGGCCCATATCCTGCATCCTGGATTTCTTGCCCCTCAGAAGGACCCATATATGTGCAACGTGAAATAGCACCATCAGAAGCAGTGTACCGCACTGTTTACACTCTCTTCCACAAATCTCTCTCAGAGGATACGTTTCTGGTGTTGGGAATTTACAGGATCAGGCAGCAGTATCTTTGGCAAAAATACAGCAGGTAATAAAAGGAATGCAGAGCTGGTGCCAGGCATAAATAGACTAAGCAATTGCTTAGGACTCCATGTAGCTCAATGTACTTCCCTGTTAACAGTATGCCCTGGGAAGGGTCAAAATATACTTGTTTGGGGCCCCCCAATGGGCTATCACTGGCACTGAAGGAATACCCGAGGTTAGAATGTACCATGGGATCTAGGCTGGGACTAGTGCACTGAAGATCCTGCTGTCCTCAGAATCTTGGAAACTGAATCTCAGATGCACTAGTACCCTAGAATGAAGATCCCACTATAATGACTGGCAGACCAGAGATCTTAACCAGTAATGAACTGAATATAGATCTTACTGTGCTAGAGTGAACATGTTTGTCAATGGGGAAATTTTAATGCATAAATGAGTGCAAAAGGGTTGGGTTTTTGGTTTTTTTCTGGATGGGTGGATCTTTGAACTCGGGTGGAGGAGAATGTATGCGCATCAGTGTCCAGACACTGATATGGGTGTGATTAGTTGTGTGTGGTGTCTTGTGCATGTGACATGCATCTGACAAAGTGGGTCTTTGCCCACGAAAGCTTATGCTCCTACACTTCAGTTAGTCTATAAGGTGCCACAGGACTCCTCGCCACTTTTGCAGATTCAGACTAACACGGCTACCCCTCAGATACACGTACAATAGGTAACTAAACCCTTAGAATTCAGGATTGAGTATTTTAGATAACTAGGGAAGAATGAGGCCATAAGGGTAGGAGTAGGTCTCCAATTCTCTCCTACAGCCCTTTAGCAAATGTTCTCTCACTGCAGTAATTCTAACTGTCCCATTCCTGTGTTCTTTTCTCTGCTCAGTCAGAAGGAAATAATGTCCCGAGGACTCTCAACAGAAGAGACAAAACAGCTAGAACAGCATCTCTTCCATGGCACCTCAGCAGAAAGCAAGAATGCCATCTGCCAGATGGGCTTTGACCCTCGTCTCTCAGGACAGCATCTTGCTGCTTTTGGCAAAGGCAGCTATTTTGCCAAGAATTCCCAGTATGCAAATGGATTTTGTTCAGCATGCAAGGCTGGGCTGCGTTATATGTTTCTGGCAAAGGTCTTGGTGGGAAAGTCTGCTGTAGGGAATGCTGATTATTGTGAACCCCCAGTGATAAGTTCTAGTGGCCCACCCTTTGATTCATGTGTTGATTCCACTTCTAGCATCTATGTGATCTTTAACAGTAGCCAATCTTACCCATACTTTCTGATCCGCTATAAACTGCTATCCGACCCTGTTATGCTGGATGATTCATAATTAGAGTGGGACAAAACAACTGCATCTTTTTTTTTTTCTCCACTGACCCTGTTATGCTGGATGATTCATAATTAGAGTGGGGCAAAACAACTGCAGCTTTTTTTTTTCTCCACTGAAAAAATGTAGATTTATGTCAACTGAAAGAATTTGAAAATTCAGGTACATTTCTGTGAATTATTTCAGGAAAAAATTTTTTCAGGAGCAACAGAATAGTTTTATTTTTGGAGTGAAACATTTCAACTTTTCGTTTTGGAAAGATATTTCCCTGCAATGGTGTTTAAAAACACTAAAAGCCCCTCAAAATCAAAATGAAACTTTGACATTTTGGTTCATGGAAAGTTTCAAAATATTTCTGTTTCAGGTTGACCCAAAACAATCCCCTCCCCCCACCCCCATTTGTTTTGTTTGGCTACTGAAAAAAAATCAGTTATTCATGCTCTTTTCATAAAATATTTGATATAAAGAACAACCCTTATGGTGATTTTGCTGATCGGGGCACCCTCACAAGGGGTTTAGGGATCTGTTTAGTGCCCTCCACATTCCTCCAATCCCAATAAAACATCCTCCTTCTGAAACATTCAATAAAATATCCCATGGCATATCCAGCAAGAGTTTGCTATTAGTGCACATGATCTGTCCAATAGACATTATCAGAGATTCTCCCTTGTTCCTTTTGGAATCCTGACCACCCACTCCACCCTTTCCTGCCCTGACTTTTACTTCATTTGTGGTGGTTCTTTGGGTACTCAGCAGCTGTTTAAAACAACAGTTTAATTCCCAGCTCTGGTATAGATACATTAGCTAGCCCAGTATAAAAATAGCAGCAGAGTTGCTTTGGCACAGGTGACAGCTCAGCCTAGCCATCAAAGTACACACCCAAGAGGCTGTATGGGATTGCGTTTGGACTGCTAGGGTATGTCTAGACTACATGACTCCGTCGATGGAGCCATGTAGATGAGTTTACTAGACATAGGAAAATGAAGCGGCGATTTAAATAATCGCTGCTTCTTTTACATCAAAATGGCCGCCACGCTGTGCCGATCAGCTGTTTGGTGGCACAGCAGGGCAGTCTGGATGCGCCGTGGTCGAGAAGGGACGCCTTTGTCGACCGCTCCAGTATGCCTTGTGAAAGGAGGTTTACTGGAGCGGTCGACAAACACTTCCCTTGTTGACCACGGCACGTCCAGACTGCCCCGCTGTGCCACCAAACAGCTGATCGGCACAGCGTGGCGGCCATTTTGATGTAAATGAAGCAGCGATTATTTAAATCGCCGCTTCATTTTCCTATGTCTAGTAAACTCATCTACATGGCTTCGTCGACGGAGCCATGTAGTCTAGACATACCCCTAGTGTCTGTGTCATCACACCAGGCTGCTATTTTTAGGCACTAGTTCAAGTAGAGTTAGTGCATATATGTCTGTCTGCATAAGAATCATGCCTCCCAGCTACTGTGTAGACATACCCTTTCCTTGTTAGCTATATCCAGATGAGAACATCTGCACAGGATTCACCTCCCCCCCCCCGAACCCATTCAAATGCTGTTTTATTCATGGGCCAGAAGGAGGAACTCTTCTCTCCTGGATTTCTTGTGGGTTTTAAAGAATATCTTTTCCACAATTGCAACATAGGAAGTGTCTGGCTTATAAAATATTATTTCCTTCCTTCCCACATATTCCCCAAAATACTTCCCTCCCCTGAAAAGTCTATTATTACGTACATGTTGTCATATTGCTAAGATTTCCTCCTTCAGTGGTTGTTCTAAAAATACTGCTACTCTGATATTTAGAACTGTTTGACTGTTTTTTGCTTTTAAAACAATTAAATGTAGGATATTTGTTTAAGGAATTGTGCACAAGAGAGACAGAATGAGGGGAGTTCACATACCAGAGATTTCATGGGAGTGGATGTTAAGCAGTTTCCTATATCTAGTGGGTCATGTGGAGAACACAGCCTGGATCTTTGGGGGGTTTTCAGCAGCTGTAGGAACAGGCAGGTCATGACCTGCTCTAGCCAAATGCTCCCTCCCACAATTTCTGGAATTCTCCCTAGCGGTAGTGTCCTCTACCTGAGCCACAAAACCTCTTGCAACTAGCCAGTGCCTGGCTGTTAGGAACTGGCCAGTTTCTGGTGGGATACTCTGCTCATTTGTGTACACTTTCTAATTGTAAATAATTGTTCACTGAAAGTGTGTATTGTTAGTCTAAACCTTATAATTTGTTAGCCTGGTTTCTTGTATTTAAAATAGCTTTTAAAATAACTTTAGTCTGATACTCAGAATTGTGGTTGACAATCTAAACATTAAAGCAAATTTTAAACAGATAAGAAAAAGGTTGATCTGATAAAAACACTGAGCTCAGCCACAGGTTAATTTGTGTTCTGCCACAGACAGCCTGGGGAAAAAAGCAAAAAAATAATCGGGGTTTTAATTTTAATTTTTTTGAGTGTATACAATAGTACAAATGCCTAAGATATTTTGGGTTTTTTCAAATGCCCAAACAATTCTCTTTTTCCTGGGGCTTAAGTAGGAGGAATTTTTGCTTAGAAGGAATTATGGAGATAGTAGAGAAAAGGGAAACACGGCTCATGGCACAGGTGGAGGGCTGATCCGTGAAGAGGGCACAGAGCTTCCAGCTTCAAGCAGATACAGAGTTGGAGGGATGGGATGGTGTGCTGAGCATGGATGGGTGTGTTGGCCTTCAGCTAATCTACAGAGTGACCAGGAGTTGCAAAATCAGACAGCCTATATTTCCAACTATCAGAGGGGTAGCCGTGTTAATCTGAATCTGCAAAAGCGACGAGGAGTCCGGTGGCACCTCATAGACTAACTGAAGTGTAGGAGCATAAGCTTTTGTGGGCAAAGACCCACTTCGTCAGATGCATCTGACGAAGTGGGTCTTTGCCCACAAAAGCTTATGCTCCTACACTTCAGTTAGTCTATGAGGTGCCACCGGACTCCTCGTCGCTTTTGCAGATTCAGATTAACACGGCTACCCCTCTGATAGTTGGAAATATAGGCTGTCTGATTTTGCAACTCCTGGTCACTCTGTAGATTAGCTGAAGGCCAACACACCCATCCATGCTCAGCACACCATCCCATCCCTCCAACTCTGTATCTGCTTGAAGCTGGAAGCTCTGTGCCCTCTTCACGGATCAGCCCTCCACCTGTGCCATGAGCCGTGTTTCCCTTTTCTGGGGATTAGTGTCACAGTCCAATCATCATGCCACTTCCCCACGGCAAGTGGCAGGGACCTGGAGTTGCCTGCTACTCCGTAAGCACCGAGCAACCACTGACCTTGACTCTGACCTGCAGCTTCTTTTAAGTTTAAGTTTAAATTTAAGTTTCCAGCTAGGTTAACCCTTTTTACCACTTTCTTTGGCAGCTGCCTCATCTCTAGCTGGACCAGAAAGTCTCCTGTAGCCAACAAGGGATATATTATCTCCATAACTATCCTGTTTAATACAAAGTATTTCCATTATTGAATTTCCAGATACCTCCCTCCAAAAAAGCTAAAAACATAGAAATATTTCTTATAATTTTAGCTAGTCATTTTCCTGCCAACAAAAAAGACTTTTTCAATCTTGACTGCCAGCTAACTGGGAGGATTTCAAAGTACTTTATAAATTAGCATAGATATTACTATAATATGGACACTAACAACAAAAATGGCAAATTGAAAAAGTAGTGTGCATCTTTTCTGTAATGCTGTATCCACTCCCCTTCAAAATATAGCAACCACCTCTGCCAACAGGCCCCAAGAAATTTAATACACAGGAAACAAGATAATACTTATGCAGTTAACAGCACAGTAATATCCCCTCTCTTTTTAGGGCTTTGTCCCAACTAGTGAAGCTTCCACCCTTTCCTAAGAATCTCACGGTGTGTCTAGACTACAGGGTTTTGTCGATAAAACTTATACCTGCGTCTACACTACCGCTGAGTTCTGTCGACATCATGTTGACAGAACTTGGCAGTTTTATTCACACAGTAAACCTCATTCTACGAGTAATAATGCCTTTTGTCGACAGAGTTCTGTCCACAGAAGGCGCTATTGCATCTACACTGTCCTTTGCTTCTACATTCTTATTACGACAAAGCGGCTTGCTTTGTCAACAGAACTGGATGTAGTCTAGACGCTCTTTGTCGACAGAAGCTTTGTCGACCAGTATCTGTCAACAAAGCCTCTGTTGACAAAAGACTGTAGTCTAGATGTACACTCACTGATATTTTATCTCAATGTTGCTTTGCAGAATTTCTGTAGTTATTGTCCCAAGTAGCTAATTTTATAAATTATTGTTCCTACCTCTTATTTGTCTTTTTAGAAATGTGTACAGTTGGGAATGGGAAACTATGTGGGATTGAGGTCCAGAAACAAGCATTAAAGGAGCAATAGAAGAGCTAGACTGTTTTCAGCCCAGAACAATACTTTAATGTAGGAAAAACCAAAGAGCTCAAGCATATTCACCAAATAGGCTTTCCCAGTCTCCGCTAGCTCTAATTATAGTTGGTGCAGAGAGAATGTACAGTTTTGCCATTGCAAATTAGAACCCTCTTTTTATTTCTTCCTTGTTGTCAAATGAAAGTATCTGTATTCACAACACAAGAATGTAAACAGCAAAAGTGTATTATATACCCTCTACTACATAGCATTAGCTACCCATCAAAGTTGAAAATAGCATCAGATTTGTCACAGCAAATGGATTCAGCTGTTCGATTAATATTTTGTTTTTAATTCTAAAGAGATGCTCCTAAATAAAGCCTGGATTTGAATCTTTTTTTCCTCGGGGAAATATTTACAACTATGAAGTTTAAAAAAAAATGTTTAAAATACTTTGCTTATGTTGTACACGATGACAGGCTTTTCTATTTTCCTCCTTGTCCCCTGCTTCAACAGATCTAGCATTTTCTAACTACCCTGCTTGAAAAACTCACAGGCCATTTGACATTGTTAGAAAGTGTTAGGGTATGTCTACACTACAGCGCTAATTCGAACTAACGGATCCAGACTAAAAAACTAGTTCGAATTAGTGTTTTGCTAA